CCTCCTACAGCGGCTATGGCCGCACTACCACTACTGACTATGGCTACGATCTCCCTTCAGCCCACTTCGTCTTCGGGCAACCTGCAGACCACCTTCGCACAAGACGCTGTAGCAGCGCTTCCGCATGGCTTACGCAGCGAATGAATGAATGACTGGGCGCTGCCTCTTGATTTATATTTCTGTAACTCGTTGGTCTGCCCCTCTCCACCAGGCCTATGGTGCACACAGTCCCTCATGGTACTTGCTTGACTGGACTGGGACTGACTGGACCGGTACCGCTGACTGCATGGGTTTGCATTGCCAACTCAATGCAGGCGCACTGCCGACGTAATGCAGCTGGGCTCACCACTTGCCCACTTGCCTCTGACTAAAACGTGAGGGAGCTTCGAAAGGCCACTTTCGGACCTTCCGGAAGTCTGTGGACTTGGCCTTTCGAGTACTGTAGCAGCTACGACCTTGACCTTTCAGGACTGTAGCAGCTACAACCTTGACCTTTCAGGATTCCTACAGCTACGACCTCTACAGGGCTGTGACTCCTACTCGACAGACCTACAGATCGAACCCCTACCACTACACAGACCTACGACAGACAAGAACAACTATCAAAACACAGGTCACGGGTTCAAACACTCGGGGTCGACATAGATACTGTACACAGGTAAAGTGAGGACTAGGGATCGAGCCCTGGGACCTGCATCCGCTACTGCTAACAGGTGAATACCGTTTCACTGGTCCTTTTCCACCAGCAAGTCAGAAGGAATTACGCCTCTTTGAACTATACCCTCTCGCTATCGTAACTGGTTGAGCCTGGCATAATGTGGCATTTGTAATTTCTTGCACCTCTGAATGGGTGCTGTAACTGCTGTTATGTATGCCCTACATTCCGTCTTCCTCTTCTTCTTCACAATCATCATCATCATCATCATCATCATCATCATCATCATCATTATTTCCCCCCCCTCCCTTCTTTGTCGTTTGGGGACCTTCTGGTTGGATATCGTTCTTTAGGGCCTGGCAGGCCCATATTCCATTCTATGATTTCGATCTTGATTGCTGCTGGATTCGAACTTGGGTCTGTATTTCAACAGTTAATGGGTGTACCAACCGAGCTACCACTTTTTTTTTTTTTTTTTTTTTTTTTGCCCCACAATGCCCACATTTCATTCTAATAATACACAGTCTCGCAGCATTCTTGTTGGAGTTTCTGGCTTAACCTGTCAGCCATGGAGGAAAAGGTTAGCAAAGACTTGTAAGGGCTCAGGAGAGGGGCAATTCGGAAATTGTCTTGGCCACTATTTTGCGATGATGGCCTACTATCTTTATGCAGTTTTCCGTTTCCTAGGGTGCATGATTCAGGATAAAACAAAGGAAACACGTGAAAAAGGGTGGTCTCCAGCCTCCCCCGTCCATAGAAACTGATAGAATCCTAAAAACAGTTCTGCTTTTTTCCACACGAAAGGTTCTCTTGAGTCTTGTTGCCTTTTCAACTATTCCAGGCTTAAGGATGTTTCAGAAAAAAAAAAAAAAAAAAAGAGAAAGAAAACAAAGAAAAGGATGGTTCAGACATGTGGTGGTTGTGCAATGAAGTGCAACAGGTTTGGCAGTTTGCAGAGGATTGTGAGATGCAGAGAGGTACACTGGTTGTTTGATGCCTGTACCAGTGCAGTGTACCTGGCTTTTGGCCCAATTGTGCAACCCTGTAAATTGTAAATCCATAGCTGTTAGTCGTTGAGTCACAGGTTCAAGTCCTGTTGAGATTGAGACAGTTTTTGAGTGAAATTATTATCATGTCCCAGACACGTATCCTTTCTTCCAGGAAAAGAACAACAAGAACAGGGAACATCGCTTCTGATTTCAAAAAAAAAAAAAAAAAAAAAAAAAAAAAAAAAAAAAA